TTTGTTGCGTGTCTAACGTTCATAATAATTTTGAATTTGGAATCATTAGAGAATGCATTTATTGTCTTTGAAATATGAAAATATTATATAGACATTTTTTTTTAACAAAGTATTTCAGTCAATTTAATAATAATAATTAGTCAGAATAAATTTGGAATAAGAATTATTAGAGAATGCATTATTATCTTTGAAGTATTACAATAATATATATGTGTAAATTTTTTAATATAGTATTAATTATAATATATAATATTGATATATTTCATTGTATATTATATTATATTAATTATTATTTATATATATATATTATATATATATAATATATTATAGTATCTGAGTTAATTTAATAATAATAATTAATTATAATAAATTTGGAATAGGAATTACTAGAGAATGCATTATTATCTTTGAAGTATTAAAATAAGGTATATAAAAATATTTAAAACAAAATATTTGTTACATTAGTAAAAATAGTAAATCATTTAAAAAAAATATTAACACTGAACACTAACGATAAATTAATAATAACTTATAAACGAAAATTAATATATTAACTTTATAATAATATATGAGTAAGAATATTGAAATTTTATAGTTTGTTGTTATCGTGATCGAAAAAAGGAAGATATCTTATCAACCTGTAAGTTATACGTTCAATTAATCAAAAGTCGTACTACTGTATAGAAAGTAAGTAGTATAAAATAATATTGATCGTGTGTTTAGAAAGTTGTCTTCGACATTGCATCGAATTAATCACTATAATTAATCACGTGGTAAAAGTTTTCATACCTTCGTATATTCGAAGCTTACGAAAATGAATTTTAAAGATCCAATTCATATCCTGTTTACAATATAATTTTGAAATAAATTATTTTCAAACTTTTTGTCTTCTCATTAGATTTAAAGTAATTTTGAAATCTCAAATAATAATTTCAAAAATAACAAATTCGAATAAAAATGTCTATTAAAATGAAATAATAAAATAAATATCATAACAACATTTAGTTGTCACATCGGTGAACAAATTTAGCTAAAATTAAAAACAAATAAATAAATAATTAAATAAATACAATAGATCAGATAAGAAGAATATTTTTTTCAATTGGATTGGATTCAGTGTTTTAAATAGAGTCGCGTTTAAAATCCCACCATCGAGTGTTTCCGAGACCGTAATTCAAATAAGGGTGACACTATAAAGGGCGTAACAAACGAAAGGGAAGTCGTGGGAAAGAGGAGGAGGAGGTGAAGAAGGAGGAGGAGGAGGTCGACATTTGCCTTCGTGCGTGAAACACGAGACTTCTCCTTCTTCGTCGTCGTCTTCGTCGTCGTCGTCGTCGTCGTCGTTACTATGCTTCTGTAATCGTACTCTTCTTGAAAATTCTATCCACTGTCATTTTATACTCCCCTATTATTTGTGCCCATTTATTGTAAATTCTGTCTTCTGCGAACAAGTTACTGCAAAAGTAAGATTTGTCTCAGCAATTTATATAAAATAATACATATATTAGGTCGAGTCATAAGTAACTTTTCTATGTCTATCTATGTAGAATCTATTTTTCGTATATACCTACTATAAGTCACCGAAACAAACGGATTTTCAATATCAGTACATAGATGAGGATTCAGTTAGTCTTCTGTCAACTTTTTTATGCAGTCAATGTTACATTTAACCGTTTTTCTTAACCATTGAAATGGATAGTAAAGATCACACGTGTTAGAAGTGAAATCTTGAAAAAACTAAGTTTCGAGAGAATCAGACGAATACAAAATAAAAATATCTGCTGTAGGATAATTGTATTCTCTTTTTATTTAATATCTCGGCCGTTTCATCGCCTCCCACCGCTCCGTTACATTTTTTCAAATCACACCCATTCTAAAGAAGTTTTCACTTGAAAAAGTGCATATTCAACATGTAATGCTTTAGGAATTGAAACAAGGCAATAGCACTAAGGTGGCAACTGAAAAAATATGCAGCGTATACAGTGCAGGACTGATAACTGATAGGGCAGTCAGAAATTGGTTTGTAAAATTTCGTTCTGGAGATACGATCTTAAAAGATGAACCGAGTGTAGGACGTATTTCCGACTTTAATGAACCTTTTAAAGGTAATATTGGAGCAAAATTCAATAGATACGTTCAACAATTGCAAAGAGTGCAAAAAAAAGCCCATGAAAGGTGTCTTGCACCTATCAGTCGCAGAAATGCCATTCTTTTTCTCATAAAAAACGTAAGTTATTTATGACTCGACTTAATATTTATATATGTGTGTGTGTACGTATACGTATTATAAAAAAAGTGTGTTAAGTACAAGTAAAAAAAAAAAAAATTCTAAACTTAGCAATATAAAAGTAACATTAATTATATATTAAATTATATTTTAAAACGAAATTGAATCTTAATTATTATCATATTTATCTTATTTAAATAATTATCTTAATTAAACTTAAATAAAAAATCGTTTTAAATTGGTCAATTGTAAAGTTTCAGATTTAATGTGGAAACTTTATTTTGTTCAGTCAAAAAATTATTATTAAAAAAAAGAAAGATGAAGCTCGTTATTGTTTAACCAAGAAAAATAATGAATTTTTTGTTAAGCTCCTTGATTGGTCGATTCTTGCATTTTATTTAGAAGAAATAAAATGTATATATACATATAAATTTATCTTTAACTAGACAAAACGCGTACTATATTTTGTAGTAAAGTTGATCGTCGAGACGAACGAGAGTTTCTCATCAAGCTCCTGCTGATTTAAATTATCTTCGTATAATTGCTCCTCTAAGAGAGCCGTACTTCGTTAAACGTTTCATTGGATTATGTTTAAAATCGCATTAAAAGTGATTTTTTTTTTCCTTCGTCAATCTTCTTTCTCACATTTCATGTTGATAATTCGGATCTTTTAAAAAAATTATCTTATATACACATTTTATTTTATATTCTCGTGATTTATATATAAATAATATTTAATTTATTGAATTGACAATTATTTTGTCTTAGAATTACGTTAATTTTACAGTCAAATAAATTTCCCATTTTTTTTTTTTTTTTATTAAATAAGACAATACTATACGAGTGTTATTTACCATATTTTTTTAATTTGATAACAAATAGATGTTATTGACAATTTTTGAGTTCCTAAAATTTAAATTAATACAAAATACACATATACTTTAAATTGTTTCTTAAATATATATTAACTGTATATTTTTTATAAATTTATTTTTTTACAAGAAACATTCCTTTTTTCGTAATATTTCTTTTATTTAATATTGACATATGACAAATACATACGTACAAATCTATTAGTGTGCAATTATTATCAATTTTTTGGGGAGTAATTGATTGTAATAATCTAATAAGAGTTTTTGTAGTTTCTCTCTTCCTATCTCTCTCTGCCTCTCTCTCTCTCTCTTTCTCTTTCTCTTACTTTCACTCTCATTCTCACTTTCTCTATCTAACTATCCATCTATCCTAGTTGTAGCTATTCGGTCGGTGATCATCGTGGATTTGTACGGCAATTATCTCTATTGTTCTCACAATTGGTGCAAACTCGATCGATATATAGAATGGGCGTTTTAGTTTGTTTGTTCACTTCCTGCAACAACAAAAGGGATTGTGGTTACGTGCTCGAAATCGGTCGTATAATTTGACACACAGATCGTGGTGTGTCCTTATGCTAGATGCTAACTACTAACAATTGCATACTTCATCAGAAATCGTTCCAATTTTCGGTAAATTACTACGACAATGTGAATAATAATTACTATTAATTATAAACAACTTATTGGCAATTCAATGTATTGATTCTATGATTGAATGAGAAATTGTTTAACAAATATTCATATAAATTTGACATTTTTTTTTTTTTGCTAATTTTATATTTTTATTTTATTTTAATGGAATAAATGTTTCATTGATTTTTTTTTTAATATTTATTATTATTATTATTATTTATTACGTGATTTTATAAAAATAATTTGACTTTCATTATCGTCGAAAAATATTTCAGCTTTATTATTTTTAATTGGAATGTACAAGATAACGAACCTTTATAAGATATTTTTCCTTTTTCTTCTACGTTTTTCACTACTCGTCTAACCCTATTTTATTCAGTCTCGCTTGTAAAACCTTAATTCTCGGTCGAATAAATACTCGAGGAAGTTGTAGACTATAGTTGAGATTCTTGTTTTGTTACTTCATCGTATTTGTAAGCACAAGATTACACGCTAAGTATTTGAGAATAGAGAATAGAATAGTTAACAAAATGACAATTTTGTACAATATGTTATCTAACTAATTTCAATGTTAATTTTCTTTATTTTTAAGTACACTCTTTAAATATTAAATCATCAATAATATTAAATTAATGGAATTGATAACAAAAATTAAAAAAAAAAAAAAAATGAAATCAACATATCTCATCTTCAGTAAATAAAAATAATAAAAATCGCGATGCTATTTTAAATTTAAATTACGAAATTTATTGTATTGAAATTTGTATTATATAATTTTGTTGTTCTTTTATTTAAATACCGATTAAATAATATTATCTTTGACCCTATATTAAAATACTTTAATATAATTATATATAACAATAATAATAATAATAAATAATTAAACAATATTTGTAAAATTAGAAAAAAAAATATCAATGAATTTTAAAACACGAATTAAAAAAGATTGACTAAAGATTGATATCTAATATTAATTAAAACGTTTGAAATGAAGTTAGAATATAATTAATAATGACAGAGACAAGGAAGCCAAAGAAGACAAAGAAGACAAAGAATAAGAACGTAAGATTTGACTGTTCTAAAAAAAAAAAAATAAAAATAAAAATAAAATAAAAGTATTTGTCTTTGATCTTAGAGAAGACGAATCAGGAAGCGTAAATTCTCGTGTCTTTGGTGGGGTGTATAGCCAAGTTGAGAATCGACAAAGCCGACAAGATAATGAGAAGTGATGCTCGTCTGGATTTGCTTCGATGCTGACGTCTCCTATAGGCACCAAGCGAATGCTTCAGGTAATGGCTATTAAGTCGATCGATTGTTCTGGATTCACATTGGATATATACCACCTTCTCTTCTCTCTCTCTTGTGTTATATCTCTTGTCTTCTCTTCTAAATTGGAGTAAATTTGTGTTAACATCAGCAGATACGTTTTATATCGTTACTCGTGTTACCCCAAATATTCCAAAATAGGGTCAATAATTTATCAACACAATTTTACTTTTTCTTTTTCATTTTCTATTCTAAAATCTAATAAAACACGCATCCTATTGAATTCCTGACGACATTTTGTATAATTTTATTAAATGCAATAGGTGTACAATCGTTATTTCGTAATATCTTTAAATTTGAGTATCAAAGTAGCCAAGAATTTTTGTGTTTAGTGAACGTAGTCTTACAGGACAATCATATTGAAGTTTCTTATTATATTTATATTCAGTTGTTCATGAGAAATAGAAGAATTAAATTAAATAAACAAATAAAAAATGTTTCTATTAATTTTTCTTACAATAATACATTTAAATTAACCGCCTTAACAACAGGAAGTACTGTCGTTCCTATTAAGGGTGATTCCTAAGTTTTTTATGCGTATGGGTGTGCCCTACACGCATTTGTTTGCTCAACCCTCACGTGATAGGCACATTAGAAAATAACACAGTCGTATTTATTCATTAATTTTATTATTTAAGTTTTCTATATCACACTAATATGGTAAATACCATAGAAATACATTAGTTAAATATATATATATATATATATATAGATATATTAAAATTAATATAAATATATAATGTATATTTATTATATCTTTTATTATAAATAAATAAAAGATATTTCAAAATAATTATCATTTATTTTGTTAAAATACGAAACACAAGTTTTAACAGCTGAAATTGTATTTGTGCTTTTTCATTAATTTCCATATGTGGGACAAGAAAAAAAAACAGAAAAGAGGAGAAAATTGGGGGAGGGGAGGGGAGGGGGGTTTGGGTAGTAATAATAGGAAAGAAATTAAACGAGAATCAGAAATGTAATTGGCAAATTAATCAGTTAAATCATTTCGTTGATTTAAGGATGACGGTATCCGTAATCGTATGGGAAAATACGTACGTGTGTATTCGTATCGGTAGGAGTAATAAATCTCATGGCAATCGGGCGGTTCGTAATTGGATGTGCCCATCAACGTTACAAATTTCATTGTCGAGTGAACGATCCGTCAGTCAACGATTTTGTACTTCATCGAAGTGCTCCATCTTTCTCGTTTAAACCATGCATACTACGTACGTACCACACATACTACATACACCTACGAAATGTCTACATTGTTACGGTACTTCTTGGCAGGATATCTATCAGGTAGAGGTGTTCCTGTTAATTGTCTTAGAAATTTATGCCCCTACTTAAACGAAGTTTCACCCTTGTTGGTTCGATCTTTCTCAAAAGTCTTGATGTACGTTTACGAAAGATGAGGGCTCGGGGGGTAGACCAAGGGAGAATAGAAATTATCATTTAAATAGAAATGATTTTACATTAATAACATTTGTAATTTTCTTCATAATATATTAATGTTATACAAGAGGAATCTAAAATAGGATTAATTAATGGAATATATACAGGGTGTCCCATATAACTGTATTCACGATTTTTCAAGTATTTATGAAAAGATGACGAAAGAATACTTTGAATAAAAATTGAACTGTTTTTAATTGATCATACGTTGCAATAAAAAAAAGGTTTGAATAATTGTTTTTTTTTATTGGTTTTTAAAGGTACTTTTATTTTTTTAAATGGTATCTTATTTTTTTAATGTTACAGTATTATAGCCCGTATTAATACTAATTCAACAATATAATATACCATGACTTTTATGTATACATATATTTATTTTATATTATTTTAATTCATAAAAATTTTATTATAAATATTATATTTATATTTATAACTTATATTATATAATAATATAAGTAATATGTAATATGCTATATATATATATATATATATATTTTTTTTTATGTTCATATATTTTAGTACTAATTCCATTAAATTCAATTTCAAATTCCATTTAAAAATCTTACTTAACTAGAACAAGAAGAACGTCATAATGGGACCCTTTTCCCATGGAAGTATCCTCTTGTATTTTTTTGTTCTTTTTTTTTTTTACAAGATTCTTTCTTTTCTCAACTAAATATTATAAAATAAAATAGAGAATAAATATTTCGTAATATATGGGACTCACTTTGGGAATGAACAGGTAAACCTTGAAACAATGATATTAATTCATTGTAAATTCTATTGAAAAAATTGAAGAAAATATAGAATACACATAGAAAAATAAAAAGACCATAAGTGGTAATAATAGGAAAGAGAACAAGGTTAGTGTATCTATACTTACGTTACTTTTCAAACATCGATCAATTCTCAATCGTAAAATATAATACATATAAATAGGTGATAAAAAGAAGGTTGGTAGTGAGGGGAATGGAAGAGGAGGGTAAACGGGGATAATCGATAAATCGTCGATGCTTATGTTAAGAATTTTTACGCAATTCAAGTCCGACTCTTGCTTGGCTCAGTTGTGTCGTGTTCAAACCTTAATCGTTAAGTAGTATGTCCTTTCCTTTGACATTTACAGTTGCCTGATGTTGGCTCATTGTATCGTTGATTTTGTACTATTCAATTCAATGTAAAAAATATATAAAAAAAATACTTTTGCCAATAATTGCATTCAACGTGATTTTAATATACACTAATGTTCAAAAGTATTTAAATATTTAGAAAAAATGTTATATTTAAATGATTCGGATAAAACATAAATGAAATATCATATGTTTTTATTTTAATTATTACAAATATTTTTATGTTAATAATTATAATATCATTTTCCATTTATCTACATATGGTTGTATGTGATATTAGACAATTTTTGTTAATACTTGTCGTTTATAAAAATACACGAGTTTGTAGAAATGCACGAAACAATTGGATTCTAACGAAATATGATTATTTATAATTATATCATAATTATTAACAACGAATATCTTTGTTTCAAATTTATCTGCAGGTATGGATAACAAGTTGTTGCATGTACTAAAAAAAAAAAAAAACAAAAATAACGTAATAACTATAATAATCAAATAATTTCTAAATAATTATTATAAATATATAAATGACCAAATACTTTTGAACGATAGTGTAATAACACCATTGCACAAGTATCGACCTTTCTATTCATTGGTTAGAAGATATTATAAAGTCGATTTAATTGTTTCTATCTATGGAGAAGCGTGATTTATGTCATTCCATAAAGGCCATATTATATATCTGTAATTCTTTTTATCTTTCAACGAACTTACGAGATATTAAAAATACATTAGAGATTGATAATTATAATAATATAAACATTTTCATTTGTTAATTATTCACTTTCCAAAATAAATTTAACTTTTTATACATGCATATATTTATATAGTTCGAATTGTTTAAGAAGTAAAATGATTGTTTGATAAACATAATTTAAACGAATCAGGTAATTAATTATACAATTAATTAATCAATGCTACATATAATATTTTTATTTTAATTCTTATCAAATTTTTTCAATAGATGATTTATTCGAAAAAAAATACAAATAATTATTGGTAAAATTCCAAACACATTAAAAGATTTATAATAATTTAATTAAACCAATCCATATTCTTTATCAATATACTACCTTTCAGTTCGAAGTTTATTTAATATCTTATTTAAATATACATATATATAGAAACTCAATTATATCGATACGATCTCCACACATGGTCAAGCATTCGAAATTTCTTTTTTTTATTCAAACAAGAAGAAAAAGTAAAAAAAAAAAACAAAAAAGATATCTGAAATAGGAATACGAAATATTTGACTATCTTCTATTATATTATCAACGAATATAAACGTTGTTGAATTTCGTTTGTGTATATACGAATCGAAATCGAATGAATAAGAACTTTATTTGTATAGAAAACGTTTCTCTCTCTTTTTATCCTTTTCTATGGCCTTTCCCAAGAGAACTAGCGAAAGCAAATTACAGGTGACCGTCGATACTATAAAACGACACACAAGGATTCGCTGGAGAGAGAGAGAGAGAGAGAGAGAGAGAAAGAGAAAGAGAGGGGGGGGTGGTGGTGGTGGTAAGGGGTAATTTAGATGGTAGGAAAATCGAAATCGCTTCTAGATTCCATCGCTATCGGCTTTCTAAGTGCCTTTAATCCGTGTTCTCGGATCTCTAGTTTGGTTTGATCCAACAAAAAGGTGAATGATGAACGACGACGGATGATGCCCCTTCGTCGCCTTTCTGACTAACAACCTACCTTACCTATCCTACCTGCCTAACACCTATCCACTGTCGTAGCAAAATACTCTTTGATTTTCTTGATTGCTCTGGAACTTTGATTTTGGGTCTTTATTTTCTTTTTATAGATTAAAACGTGCGGGCGATTAAATTTTTTTCCCTCATTCAGCCTTTCCTCCCACTCTCCTCCCCACCTTTCAATAAAGATTGATTAGACGTTTTTCGTTTGATTGGAGATTAAAAATAAAAAGAGGAAAAAATTTTTTTTTTATTCGATCGATTATTATTCTACCCAACCAACCAATCCCCCCTCTTTTTTTTGTTTGTTTTGAAAAGGGGGGGGGCAGAATTTTATATAGAAAGTATTATACGTTAAAAATCGATGATAGTTATTTAATATTCTTATCTGGTATCGCGTTCTTGGATTTTATTCTTTTTCTTTTTATCATTTTTCTATTTCTCTGTGTGTTCTATGTTGATTTTATTTCTTTTTTTTTTTTTTTTTCTTGGTTTGTTTGCTTGGTAGTAGTATTGTAATATAATACATATTGGTACTACGCCTTTGCATGCGAAATAAGTTTAATAAGAGGAACGAATCGATAAACCCTAGCGATTTCCCTCGAGTAGTCAGTCGGTCACGTTTGATTTTTACGAAGGATGTCACAATGGGAGAGAAAGAGGAGATATAGTAATAGGAACGAGGAAGTTCTCTAATCTCACGTTTGTTTTTTACGAGTAACTTCGTACAGTTAGAGAGGAATGGATGAGAAAAAGGTAAGAAAGAAGTTTTCATGCACGCGAAGAAATAAGTTTTTCTTGTTGTTGTAAATGTAATTCGTTTGAACTTTTGAAGAAAAAGAAGACAACTACGTGGATTTCTTCATTTTATCTAATTACTTATTTTTCTTATCTTCTTCTTCTTCTTCTTTTCTTTTTTTATGCAACAGTCACCGATCGGAAACTTCCGATAATTACAGCTGCTGCTACTACTACTACTACTACTACTACTATTATAGATGTTATTTAAAATATATTTTTTTTTAACTTAATTAAGTCGAATAAGTACTTTTTTTTTTTTTTAACAAAATTTATTTAACATTTATCTTTACTAGCAAATCATTTATCTTCAGATTGGGAACTAACAATAAACAATGTTTCTTTTTTTAAAGTAGCAATACGTATTTATAAAAAGTAAAACAATTTTTCTTTTTACTTTGCAATCAAGTAAAGACGAATATATTTTCTTATTAAATAATTTGCATAAAATGAATCACCAGAAAAAATATATATATGGTGTTTTAGAAGTATAAGAAACAATACAAAATGTATTTTGAAACAAAGTGTTATGCATGTGAAACTTCTCCTTTCATTTTCTTGGAAAATGATTGAGTATTCTGTCCCATTACTTTCATGGTGTATGGTCCTGATGGACCCCCTACAACTGTATAGAATATAACAAAAATTAGTATTCTGTCAACTTACATTAGTTCTCCCCTTGTAAGTCAGCAAATAAAAAAAAAATTAATATTTTGATTTATTATACTCTATAGCAATTGGTTATATTATAAAATGAATTATATAAAATAACTTGTTCTGAGAATATTTCTTATGTAAGTAGTAAAATTTGAGAACATTGAAACGATTTATTTTCCTATCAAATCGTCGATAGTTATTCCAGTTTTGGAAGTAAGGGGGGAAAACGAGAACGTTATTCCGTTGAGAATCGAATGTTGAGTTAGGGGTAAAGGGGTTGGAGGGTGGTAGTGGTGGTGGTAGTGGGTCATCGTGCGTCAGAGTCGGAATTAGCGATGACAGGAAAAGCAAGATTTATGTTTCTCGAGAAGGGGCAATAAGAAGTTATTCCGTATATCTTTGGAGATTTATCGCGGACCGGCCCTTTCTCGCGGTGCTACTACCACCAACTTTTCCGCGAGCTTTGAAACTTTTATCCTTGTCTGAATTCAAAGATTATAGCTATATATTACGAAGATAATCGCCAAGTCTCTTCATGTATTTTCTAAGTTATCACCATCATTTTAGATTATTTCCTGACATATTTTATACATATACATTTGTGTATATATATATATTTGTGTGTGTCACCATGTTACGTTAATTATAATTATATGAACAATTATTTTTAATCTTTTTCGTATAATTTTACATCATACTTTCTTTCTTTTTTTTTATTCATTGATTGATAATCATAATCTTTTATACCACTATGAAATATTTCAGATAACCACGTAATCCTATATACCATATAAATAATGACATTTTATTTTATTTTTATTTTTATTTTTATAAAATATTATCTCTTCTACACACATCGTTCTCTTATGGAAAATTGACTATTTTTTGTATTGTAATTCTCGTCATTTTAGAGAATAGTTTTATTACGTATTGTACTACCCTTAACTATTTTTTTTTTTCTAAAATTTTGGAAGATATAAATTTAACATGCATAGTTTAAACGCATAAGTGTTAGTTTATAAAGAAAGATTATAAGTTTTATTTGCGATTAATATAATATAATTATTTTAATACTTATAGAAGGGTATTAGAATTACAAATGATTAGATAAAATATTAAAATTGGAAATATGCAATAGAGAATTTATTGAAATAACTCGAAATGATTTTTTTTTTATTTTCTCATAGAAAATTAAATATAAATCATATCGATGAAGTGAAAAATTATAAGAAAGATAAAAAATATACAAATATATGTTTAAACGAGAAAAATAATTTGAGATTACAATATATATATATATAATTCGATATTCATCGTAATTAAATGTTAATAAATCGTGAATAACCCAGATGGTAGTGATGCACTATCCCATCATAGGATCGAGTTCCAGCAGAGGGTTATCCCTTTCTTGACTTTGACCATGGGTGAAGTCATGAAACCGAAGCTGTGGACAGCATCCTAACGTCGCAACTGACGTCAATCTGGGCTCTCATAACATTTAGCTTGTTACGGTGTATGCATTATTGGTGCAAATATCGAGTAATAAAAAAGAAGTAAGAATAAAGTTATTAAACTGTTCTAAAAGAAAAAGTAATTGTCTCCACTCACAATCAGTGAAAAAACAAACCAAATACATCATTAATTCGTATTGGTTTTAGCAATATGATCATTCAAATTACTTATAAAGATCAAAATTGTCTCTTTGTTGAAAAAAATTCAATTCTCCTACATTGCATATAACATGTGAAAATTTGTTGAATGTTTAAAAAATTCCAAAAAACAAAAAAAAATACTAATTTGAGAATTGTGTATAACATCGTGTACATATTTGCAATTGTAATAATAAACGAAATATTCTTACTCACGTTCATAATAATAATGTTGTCGCATAATCAAACCATATTCATGGTATAATATAAACAAGTATTTGTTAATAATACCAAGTTAACTGGATTTAATTACAAAGTTAATTTCGTTTGGCTCGTTTAACAATAACTTCTCTCTTGTAACACGAAATACCCTAGACGACCATATTATTATATACGTTTTGTGTTCTAACTTAGGAATATTTAATACATTCTTCTATCATTTAGTAACCCTTCCTACATTGTGTTTAACATAATAATAATAATAATAATAATACTATTTTATTGCGATATCTGATAAAAAACAACAAACAAAATATATATGTATGGAATCTTTCGATAATACAAGAAGGACAAACGAAATGAAAGAAAAGTCTAGTTCAAATATATTGTTTATAATTAACGAAAGGTTTGTTCGATTTTATTTTCAGTCAGCCAATCATATCATACCAAGAAAGGGACGTGAAAGCAATAACACTAAGAAAGAAAAAAGAAAATAAAGAAGATATTAAGAAAAATGGCACAAAACGAAGAACCTTTTTTACGTTCAACTGTCAGCCAACAAGTATCATATGTCAGATTTACCAACTATACAAAACGCATAGTTGATCTTTATTGGATCGACTTTCAAGGTATTGCCATCAAATATGGCAGTTTAACTCCTGATCAGTACTTAGAGATCAACACTTATGCAACGCATCCTTGGATCTGCGTTGATGCTGAGACGAAGGAAAGGTGAGAAAGAATACTTTCACGAATCGTCATGGTTGTTGCTTCGTTCATCTTTTCTTTAAACGTGATTTTCATACTAAAATATTTTTCAACGACATTTTGAAAATAAAATTCCTTGACTATTAATCAAATTTTATATCATTTTTTCTTTCTTTCTATTATTTTAAAGTAATTATCATTTTTAATGGAATTCAATATAATTTCTATTTAAAATCAGAAGCAAATTGTTTCTTGCAAACTATAATAATTCTGTCAATGAATTAATGTTACATTCGTTTGTTAAATATATTCCTATGAGAGTGCAATTAAATCACGGGAACAAAATAAAAAAAGGGAATTTAAATTTATATATATACAGTAAATTTTGTATTATTTTATTCGTGTTCTATTTTCACTACACACAATCATACAATAACATCACTTTGAAGGATAATTATGAAAAGGATAATACATGTCTCGGTAATAATGACTGTGGATTAAATGCGAATTAATTTTTTGCATTTTTTTTTATATTATAAATAATTAATAATATTATAAAGAAAAAATCAAAAGAATGAATTTTTACAATGTTTTCCAGACTTGATCTATTGTAATAATTAATTATCGGGTACAAACGTACAAAAAGATATATTAATTTTTTTTTTGATAAAAGATTTCAACTTAGTCACTAATTGAATAATAGCATGATAAATCAACAATAAATTATTTTCATATACATTCTGTACAATAATTTATCAGAAATATTTATTTATAAATAATAAAAAATAAAAATAGGAATAAAACAGGAATAAAACATAAACCTGTTGTCTTGAATATTATTTAGGAAATAAAAAAAAAAAAAAACAATAAGTAAACGGTTTTCAGATATTGGGTGAACAACAAAGAAGTATTTTATCCTGAACCATGGATTGGAAAATGTGTGAATAATGAACAATATATTCTACGTTTAGTCAACCGAATAGATGCCCGTATACTGACCCCGATGTACTCGTTAGTTGAATTATCTGCAAGAGCAATAACGAGATGTCTTCAGTACAGAGAACAAGTTAATAAACTTAACCTTCCGAGGTGTCTTGAAAACAAACTATTTTCAATGCTGCCCAACGAATTAACCGTACGACTGCTAAACCGTAAAAAAGAAGAAGAGGATTCGTAATATTGTTTGTGGATATTACGATGATGGAACATCATAACTACTGGTACATGGTACATCTACTTTCAATTAACCATATTTGGATAAGTTCATTTTTTTACTATTTCAATAAAATGCATGGTTACATTGCTTTTTTTCCCTATAATTATTTCTAACATTTTACAATATCGTTCATTCGAATTTTTTTTTTTTTTTCATTATTTGTAAAAGAACACATAATTTAACAATTTTAAATATTTAGTAATTAGTTAGTAACAATATTATTATTATTATTATATATTTTTCATACGGATTAATCTATTATTGTGATTTAATTTTTTTTTTTTTCATAGTTTTTGCCAAAAGAGGACTATCTGAATTTTTAACATTGCATTGATATTATGCAATGCCGAACTGAGTAAAAAAATTTTTTTCTGCTATGCGTCTCATTTTCAAGAGGAATGTGAACAATGAAAAAATTGAAAAAGTGAAGAAGGATCATCCCTATTCAGGAAAAAATGTAAAGCAAATGCTTATCGTAGTTATAAGGCAGAAAAGAATTTTATAGTGAAATCTATTATCATTTTTTTTTCTCAGATATAAGATTTTTTAATTTTTAATCACAATGTGATATTGTTATATATATATATATATATAATTAATATCGATCAAATTACGCTCGCTACTTATTTCTTATTTATAAATTACTAATTTTTAGTATAGTTAAATGTCAATTTTTTTTTTCTTTCGATGTTACTACTTGTACATATGTGTATACATATATATACACTATTTAGTAGATATTTGATAACAATTATTAATAGATTAATTAAAAACAGTGGTCTTTAAGTATTTTAGATTATAATAGAACTTTCTTATGAGTGCCATAATATTCTATAGATAATATTATAGAATTTTTCCTTATAACACGATAAAAAATATACATAAATATATAAATTCATAAATTTTCTAGATTATTAGTTTGAAAGTATATTTTCATTTGAATTTTATTTTATTCTACATATATGCAATATTTTTGAAAAAGCTGCATGAAACTCTAATGGTTCTGTTGAACACAATTTGAAAACCACTGTTCCTCTAAGACGTTTAATATAAATTCAATTAAAATAATCCATTTCATATTAACATATTTTTATTACTATAAATAATAACTATTATTAACATTGATGTGTATGAAGACAACAACAAAATCATGATTTTAGAATCTATTATAACAAAAAAAAAAAAGAAAAAACGAGATCAATTTAAAAATGATCAAATAAATTGGATTTATTCGTGAAAATCATATTTCGTGATCGTATTTTTAAAAAATTCATTAATTCCATTAACAGCTCGTGTGGTATTCGCAGTTTTTAGTTAATTTCGCTAAATGGACAACGATTCTTTGATTAATATTTCATAAAGAACGTTAATTATCCGTAATTATCGTATTTCTAGCTAATAGTCTTTGAGGAAAATAATTTCGATTGAAAATTATATTTGGAAATTATATTTAAAAAAAAAAAAAGCATTTATCATTTTTCATTTCAAATGCATGCAACGGAATAATTAATTTACAAAGAGAGTCTCTAATGAGAATTTGAAAACTAATTTGACCTCGTTAAAACGCGTAAGAAATAATCATTCTTACAATTAGTTTAAATCACATTAATGAGTTTTAATAGATTCTTCTTTCGTTATTTAATGTTAATTTTACACAAGTTTCAATTGTCTTCTCAAATCTTTCGGTAATTAAGTAATCGTTTTAATCATTACGAAAATTCCAAGCGAGTTCAAAGTTTAAAGATCTTTCTAAAGATATTAGATTTTGTTAAGATGATAATTCAACTATATTATTGCTATTTGTAAATGTTAAGTTACAAAATTATTTACTTTATCCTTTTACCTTTTTATATGAACTTTCTACGAGACAACAATGAAATACTTAAATATATTTCTTAAAATGGCATTAATTAAATTCAATGACAAATTACATGTAAATGGAATACCGGAATATAATAGATGTAAGATATGTGAAAAAAGATTGGACCCGGGTCTTTCGCTTTCCGGGCGACTGGTCTTTTAACCAATTGAGCTATCCAGGGCCCACCGACCCAATTCTTTTCCACGAATCCATATGTTTCACATGGAGACCGTTCTTCCCACATTTATAGTAGATTTATCTTTTTATTTGTCTAATATTATTATGTAGGCCAAATTATGTAAAAAGAAAAAAAGAAACTATCACAACCATCTGAAATGGAATAAATTTAAATAAAACAAACGCGTAGAGTAATTTTTATTTCAATCAGGTGTAATTTAGTTTTGTGCAATTTTTTAATAACTCATTTAATATCGAGTGATATAATTAATATTATTTTTAATTTGTTAAAGTTCATACTAAACAAAGATCATCAAAATGGTTACATTTACTTTTTGGTATTTTAAGGATTGATAGATTTTTACATAATTTGGCTCAAATTACGTTGATTTACATTTTATATGTTATGTATAAAGCATGCATATAAATTTATTTTCCAATTTGTTTGTAATTACTTAATTATTATTTGTTTATCATTCCTTTTTATTAATCGAGACACTGATTTAAAATAATTCATGTTTTTTTTTTTTTTTTTATATATGTTCAGAAATTTGTACACGGATGTTTTAGTTTTGGCAAAAAAACAAAATATTAATGTCTCTTTATCATCGTGAAATTGTAATAAAAAAATATTTCTTAAAAAAAAAAAAAAATGTGTTATTGTTTCTTACAAATTGATAATTATACTTTTTATTTGTATTATTTATTTGTGCATGTTATTATCTCAATATTATATTTTCAAATTACATTATCCCTATCTTAGAATTATTTTAATATCAAAAAACAACAGGATGTGATTACAGAGTTAATAAACAATTTAAAAACACAGACTAAACAAAAAAAAAACGCCCGTTTCATAGTTTCCAATTTAATATATTTTAGATCCAGACAATAGACGATTATTCGTATTTTGAAAGTAAATATTGAATCGTATCTTCACAATCGATAAGTTTTTCATCGGACAGTAAACTTTATTTTATCTTATATACACTTTATCGTTATCTCACATTTGTTCTTTATCTTATTACAGTTATACTATACGTAAAAATAATAAACAAATATAATATGTGTGTTTAAAAAAGTGAACAACTTGTTGTGAAGATAAATTTTTCTGATACACTGCTGTAAATGAGTTCATTTGCATTAAAAAAAAAAAAAAAAGAAAAAAAGAAAAAAAGCATATAAAAAACAAAATGAAAACCATTTCCATTGGATTAGTAAGTCTTTCGTTGTTATCGTATAGCAGGATCAAGGATAATTATTTGACTTGCAAACAAATGCAAAAATTACACATACATATGTCTCTTCTACATTTTCTCTTCCCCTTCATTGGATTTTTAATGTGTACTTTTAATACATCACTGACATGAGAAGATGTATATGTACTACCTATGTATGCTAATGACCAGAAGGTATATCTCTTTTTCATCTGCTAAGACCCGACTGCATTAAACAGATTGGATTATAAGTTTAACGCGTGCTAATCTGAAATGTCGGTTCTTGTTAATTCCATGCAGTCAGGTAAAAGATCAAAAGTAATGAAAAATACTTACTATTAGTCAAGTTATTACGAAATGAGAAGATATGAAACTGAGTGTTATAGAAATTATTTTATAATTTGTAAAAGTATAATTCTCTCTCTCTCTCTCTCTCTCTCTCTCTCTCTTTTAGATAAATAGTATATTTAAAATAAAGAATAACATTTTTTTTTCAAAATAGATTTTATATATTTCTATATATATTCGTATATTTATTAATATTTTATATTAAATTTTAATCATTTATAAAATTATTATTTTAATTATTATTCAAAATATTATGAGAATAAAACTTTGATAACTTGTATATATATATATATAATAATGTAATTTAAAATTTAAGTAAGTTAACATAGAAAATAGAAAATAAAACACGAAGAAAATGAAGTAGTCTCTTTCCTTGTGTCCCAATTTAGTTTCATTTAAATTAAACCCATAGGAATAGTGGTTGTGTATCTCTCCATGTTTTCTATCCAGTTGTCCAATCTTTGTTGTAAATAAATCTCTACTATATTTTCTTGTTTTTTTTTTTTTTTTTTTTTTTCTAACGTGATGCGATTTTCTCGAATGATATAACTTAACTATAACGTTACATTTTATACCTTATTCGGTATAAGATGAACTTTGCTCGTATAGGCGACACGCTTGACTATCAAGATTTCGATTTGTTATTCCTATCGTAACGGTCTCCAACAATCCTTTAGTACAACGTAATTCGTTCTAATCGTTATTGCGTGACTTTTGCCATCTTCCATAATCTCCTATAAATTTTTCATTATGAAAAAAAATAAAAGAAAACAAAAAAAAAAAATATGTCATTTTGCTATCCGATAACAATAAATATGAACAGACGGATAAATAAGTTATGTGAATTGTTTTATAATTGCACACTTTTAGGACATATATCAATATATTTAATATATAATAGTGTTACATAGTATATATATATATATATAATTAAATAATTTTATTGCATATGTTATTAATTTTTTAATTTTATAATTAATATTTATATCTTCTTAATATATATATAAATTACGTGTCACGTTAACTACTAAGATAGGATAGTTTATATCTCAATTTATAATCGCAATATTATTTGTTTATTAACAAAGAGTCATGATTATCTCTGTTAGTTCGATTTAATCGAATATATAATATTATATAATATTAATTATGTGTGACAATATTGTATGTAAAATATTGTAAGAAAAAATTCAAAAAATGTTTAATGTGACCAATGTGTGTTAAGTTTAACGTTAAATACATTTTTCATTATATATTTAATCTAAAAATAAAAATGCTCCATTATTTTTTATATGATATATACTATTTATAATATATTTGTTTTTTTTATTACTTATATATACATCAAGGATTAATATGACCCGATACTGACCGTAACTCATTGAGTTAGGTCAGTACGTTGATTACTCATTGAGCGAGTTAAACTTTCATTCATATAGACTCTACCATTCGTGTTCTTATTTGTTAGAATAGAAAATTCTAAGTTGCACATAGACAAAAATATTTTTTAAATTTTGCGAAAACAATTTTGAATACTAGATCGTTTATTTTATTTTATTTTAGAAGAATTGACAAAATGAGATATTTTTTTTTTTTAATTATAACATTAAACATTTCAAATAACAATTCATTGTACTGTGTTCGAGTTTTGCGTGTCAGTTTTAAACCAAAGTATTTTATTATTTCATTATGATTGTTTTTACCTTGTACATCTTTAATAAACCAAAAAAAAAAAGGGATTATTTTTGAGGATT